TTTGAAATGCATTGCCATGTCTTGTTTGTCCTTTGCTGCTGTCAAACAGGTTTTTGCAGGAATGGATGGCCGGTCGGCCATCTCTAGTGCTGCCCAGCTATCCATATTTGGCCAAGAGTTTCATTTGTGGTCGATGACCACTTGCCCATGGCCGGTGATCATTTCTCTTAGCCGGTGGCATCCCATAGTGTTCAGAGAGTGTACCTTGGGATTTGTGCAATGTTCAGAGGTGCAGAGCAGTGTAAACAGAGGCAACTGTGGCATGGCGATGGATTTTCGAGCGGAGCTAGGCATACGTGCATTTAACCCTCCGTCCGAGGCTGTTTTGTTGTTTTCTTCATTTAATTAATTTGTTTAATTAGTTAAGTGGTTGTGTAATATTTAATTAGCTTGTAGGTTAGTTAAATCTGTATTATTCTTTTAGTCCCTTTGAGAGAGGACGGATTTGTAATAAGCGTGCATGTGTGTGATGCATGTCTTCTAACCCCCACGTCTTTCTCCCTTTTATTTAACCACTTTCAATGGTTAGTATTAGGGCATATTTAAATTAGCATACCTTATGCTTTGCATGCGTGCATTCATCCATCTGTATTGCATGCACCGGGCTCGGCGCATCATACTAACTGCATTGTATTTCAATTTCAAGTTGAATACGTGTTAGCTGTGGCATCATCATATGCCATTCTTGGATTAGCCGAGCTTATTCTAGTTGCATTCTGTATGTGTTGCATTAGCCATCTTAACATGAACTAGGATCATGTATTTGATTACTAACTAGTTTCTGTTTTGGCTTGGAGTACTAGGTAAGCTCTTATGCTTTAGCATCTTGCATGCGTGTGAGTGTTGCCATATTAGAATGCTTACTATGTGTCTATGTGCTTATATGATATATCTGCCTGAATGCCTGTGGGTGAAGGTTGACTTATCTAAATTGGAATAATGCATCGACTGTGAGTTTTAAGCCCACTAGACAGTGGCAAAATCATGCTTTCTGAAGGTGGCAAAATCTGCATTTTAAGCCTACTTGCGGGTAGCAAACAATTTTCAAAACAAACATGAAATGTTTTGTTCCAATTTAGGCGACCCAGTCTATACTTGTTTTGCTGCGAGCATCACATAGTAAATCTAGGCTAATAACCGGAACAAGAATGCATAATGTTTTCAAAACTAGATATCATGGTTAGTAGAGGCTGATCTTCGGATCGGGCGAGCGGGAGTGCTCATAGCTGACCTTCCCCAATCGTACTCAAGTTCCCGAGCCGAGGCAACTTTGGTGATGACGGATACGTGGCCTTAGGCAAACGAGTCAGGGTTTCCTAAATTTCCCCCATAAAAAAATATTTAGGTGGCGACTCTGTATCTGGCAAAGTAGTCCATGTTTGGCACTTCTTTCTAAAAATCTATTTTCTCAAAACGATTTGCCGGATTTGGACTCTTTGGTTCAGATATAGAACCGTGACAATTTGAGAGTCCGAACTGTAGTGAGCCCAAATTGAACAGAACGGAAGGGATTCCCTCCCGGGGCGTTCGGGGGACGTCTACAGAGGGGCCTCCCTTCTTATAGAAAATCAAGTCCCAAGCTTGTTGAGCAAGCTTGGAGCTTGTTAAAATCCATCCATACACGTGTATGGAGGATACACCAAGTGACCAACAGCTAGCACCAACTAGAAGAAAAATATCTGCAAAAACAGAAAAAGGGGTCTCGGCCAAAAAAATGGCCGATCGACCAAAAAGAGTGCCGATCAGCCAACACTTATGGCCGATGGCAAGAAGGAGAGGCTGATGGGCACAAGGCGAGGCCGATGGGCACAAGGCCTGGCCGATGGGTTGTGGGGCTGGCCAACAAGCCACCCCCTTCCCTCAGAAACAAAACCACAAGCTCTTGGTCTACAACCAAGGACAAAATAGACAGGTTGAGAGGCTCCAAGGCAAGGCGCGTAGCCGAGACCTTCAGAAACTCAAAACGAACACGAGCATGGATGATCATCGAGTGTTCAAACGATGACGTCCAAGTCTTGAGGACGGTAAAAAATGGGGTGTCTACAACGTTATCTTTATATTGATATTTGCTTCCACTTAAGGCGCCGTATTTGAATAAGTATTCGTAAAATTTTGTTTTGAGGCCTATGTGCAGGCCGGTCATGGACCAAACTTTTAGGGGCGGGTTTGGGCCGTGACAGAGAAGCGGTTTGTACCGAATTGAGATGGTTTCAGGCGATGACTTAACTCGGCACGGTTAGGTAATTTTAGTCATGCTGAAGCAGATGAAATTAAGGGACAGTTGAGAGAGGAATTTATAATGAACAAATGGACCGAGCTAACCCTCGTCTAGGATGATGAACCTAGTTAGATGATAGACTTGAGCTATGGGCCGAGCTAAGCCCGTGCTTCGGTAATGGGCGGGGGCGTAGCTGAAATAAGGCCACAAGTTTGAATCGAGCTATCTCATGAGTTAGACCATGCGTTTTTCTATGCCTGTATTACGACATTCGATTGGGCTAAATGGAGATGGGGTCACGTTCTATGATCGAGCTGAAGATATGCGTCGAGCTATTATGTAGAAGGTTATTGTGATGGCGGGCTAAAGAGTTGACTAAGCTATGAAGGAACAATCGCAGACCGGCCTAAGCGCAAGTGGTCCTAAAGGGCTTCGTTGAGCTATATGGTGTCTGGCGAGGTTGACCTGAGAGCACTCAGAGTTGGTGCGGTTGAGGATAATAGAATTGAGATTTGGTTACAAGTGGTAGCCAAGTCTAGATGTGCCACGTGGCCTAATTGAATGAAGATATGGAAGACTGCTCAAAGTATGCGTCAATACCGTTTAGCGGTTTGTCAATGCGGTTTGGTAATATTGATGAGTACACGTGTAAGGAGAAGTGAGGAAAATGCATCCACGTGTCCAGCATATGACAAAGCAAGTAGTGAGTGCACAACCTTGGAAGACAAGGTAACAGCCTTGATAAGGCGTACGACTTCCCTTAGAAAAGGGTAAGCAAACTTACACTACTCACTCTCTCTACTCTCCTTCTCACCAACGCGCCAACTTGATCGTCGGAGGGATTTTTTGACAAACCGCTTGTCGGGTAGCTCACTTTCATTGTGTTTCAGGAAGCAAGATGCCATTCAGAGCAATATGAGCTTGGACACAAGGAGTACGAACGCGAAGAATAGTTACTTCCTATACAAATAGGTATTACTTGTGGTGTCAAAACAAATAAATAAATTTTTAAATTTTCAATTGGAGTGTTCCAAATAATAAGGTGTCCAATCTAATTTTTGGAGTGCAATTAGAGCTACCCATAAGCGTTTTGTTGCTTTTATAGGCCTTGTTTGGCAAGTTGTTTTTTAATTTTTTTAGACTAAAATAGTGAATAAATACAAAATATGTTAAAATAGTCAATAAGATAAAAATGCATATCTAATCTATAATCATTTCATTTTTTTCTCTTATAATCAAATCAATTACAAAAAAAATCAATTATATTTATGAATATAACTATTTTAACCAAATTTAAATATTAAAAAAAATTAAATAATCAACTAAAATAGTCAATTACCTAAGCAAGGCTTGGTTATAGTTTTCCAAAAACATTTTTTAAAAAATTCTGCTTTCTTGTTTTTCGTATTTTTTGTTTTTACTAATTTTTTTAAATATTTTAAACGATTTTTTTTAATTTTTAGACATACCTAACATAAATATACCTAAAAAGTAAAAAATTTGTGAAAAAAACATTTTAAAAATTCACTAAATACCAAAAAAAAAAAAGAAAGAGAATTTAGTACATTTTTATATTTTTATGTATATATTAATTTTTTAAAATATTTTTACTTTTTAGATACATCTCAATAGCGCACATCTAAAAAAATAAAAATAAAAATAAAAATATTTACTAAAAATAAAAAAATATAAAACTAAAAAATTCAATTTTCAAAACACTTAAATTCAAAAAATGCAAATCAAACACACTAATTATATATAGGTGTATGCCATCACGTGCCATTAAGCGCGTTGTTTAGTCTTTCTCCTCCGAGGGAGAGACAGGGAGAGTGACCCTTGGGTAGTATCTCTGTCTATGCTGGGAAGTGTGTAAGTAAGAACTCGGGTGTTTTAACAATCAAATAAAAAGTCAGTTTTTATAAGTGATATGGCTTTTCACGTTTTTTATTTAAAATAAATAAAATAGATTAAATTTTTTTTAAAAAATTCACTTTTCACGTTTTTTATTTAAAATAAAATAAAATAGATTATTTCATGTTTTTTATTTAAAAAAATAAAGACATTGACAATAATGGTTGTAAGTAGACTAAAAAGACTTAAGAAAATAATATTTACTAATTTTTCAAAATATCATTCACCTTGTTTGTTTCCACTTTTCAAAAAATAATTTTCAGAAAATTCTACTTTTTTATTTTTCGTATTTTTTTGCTTTTACTAAAATTTTTAAATATTTTAAGCAATTTTTTTATTTTTTAGACACACCTAACATAAATACACCTAAAAAGTAAAAAAATTATAATTTTTTTTTTAAAAAAATTCACTAACTACCAAAAATATCAAAAAAATACAAAAATTCAGTACATTTTTTTATATTTTTATGTATTTATTAATTTTTTAAAATATTTTTTTTAAAATTTTTTACTTTTTAGATACATCTAAGTAAGGTGTATCTAAAAAAATAAAAAAAAATATTTAAAATTTAAAAAGTATTCACTAAAAAAATACGAAAATTAAAAAAAAAATCAATTTTTAAAAAACTTAATTCAAAAAAACTCAAATCAAACACATTTATTTAATGTCTCAAGAATAATATTATGCGGAGATGTCTCAAGAATAATATTATATGGAGATCAACTAATCGTCATAAATCTCTTTCTAGAATACTGTATGTATATACCACCACTTTCTGTACTTGTTCTTTCTCTCTCTCTCATCACAGGTTCACACTCTCTTAATTGTACCGTTTTGTTTTGGTAAAACTTGTATTGTATGCATGCACGTTGTTAGTGTTTAAAATTACCAACCATATCAGTAAGTACACAAAATTCATGAATTGTTGTTGATCGGCTTTTGGTTGGAAAGGGTTTCTAATCTCTCTCTCTCGCTCTTTCTATTCTGTTTCATTTTGTGGTTTGTCTGTTGCATCATTCATCTCTGTATCTGTATTGGTATATAAAACCGCCCCGCCGTATGAATCCGGTCCATCCAGCCTGGTTTTGGGTATTCCGGCGGTTCCAAAAGCAGTTTTCCGGCGAACCCAGATTGATAGATAGATGATGGAGAAAGACCCACTTCTTCCCTATATCAGCCCTAGACGCCTACAACCATCAACAGCAGCAGCATCACCACCACCATCACTTTGTCCCCTCCCTGAAGACGATGAAATCACCATTCCTGTGCCTCTGACCCCATCAGAACTCAAGGACCGCCTCATCTTTGGCCCATCCTCTCCACCCTCCTCCTCCTCCTCCTCAATTGACCAATCTTCAACAACAACAAGTCTTGTTGATGCCTTAACAACCCTAACCCTCAACTCCCCCAAATTCTCCTCCATCCCTCCTTGCTGTTCTTCCTCCACAGACCCAACTATCAATTCAGCAGACCCATTAAACCAACAGTCTTGGTTGAATGATCCCAATTATCCATGGAACAAGAGCAATCTCCATAGGTCCAAAACTGCCCCTGCCATGGCTGCCATCAATGATCTTCACTGTTCCTCTATAGCTAAACCACCTCAATTCGGTTCTTCTTCTTCCATTATTCGTCAGGCTTTTCTTCTTTTGATTATGTATTTGACGTTTGGTGTGATCATATATTGGTCTAATCGCCACGATTTTAGGGCCGATGAGACAAACCCAGTTGTTGATGCTTTGTATTTTTGTATTGTGACAATGTGCACAATTGGGTACGGTGATATAACCCCTAATAGCGCTGCCACAAAGTTGTTTTCCATAATGTTTGTGTTGGTTGGGTTTGGATTTATTGATATTTTGCTTTCTGGGATGGTTAGTTATGTGCTTGATTTGCAAGAGAATTATCTTTTGAGAAATGTGAAAGGTAGAGGAGAGCGGGACAATCCGGGATCTTATATAATTGATGTGAAGAAGGGGAGGATGAGGATTCGAATGAAGGTTGGATTGGCATTGGGCGTTGTGGTTCTTTGTATTGGAATTGGAGCAGCTGGTATGCATTATGTGGAGAAGCTTGAATGGTTGGATTCATTTTATCTATCAGTTATGTCAGTTACAACGGTTGGTTATGGTGACAGGGCATTCACGTCAATGCCTGGCCGGATTTTTGCATCAATTTGGTTGCTTGTGTCGACACTTGCTGTTGCTCGGGCTTTTCTGTACTTGGCTGAGGCTAGAGTCGATAAGCGGCATAGGAGGATGGCCAAATGGGTGCTTGGTCAGGATATGACAGTTGCCCAGTTCCTTGCTGCTGACATTGACAATAATGGTTGTGTGAGGTAAATACATTGTTTCTTGTTATCTATTTTGGATTGTTTACTTTAAATCCTAACTCTAAGGACTGAGCCTGAGATGCATGAAAGATAGTAATAGCCTATTTATTAATATGTTCAACTCCATTCAGTAGTAAATATTGGTGTGAGAAATTGCTGATATGGCTTTACGGGAATTTGTGACCTTAATTCAATTTCTGAGTGGTAGTGTATGCTAATTATCTTTGATTTTGTTGATAACATGGAATGTATCAAAACATGCCTGTTTTCTTTTCTTTTCTCTCACTAGGCTCTCCTATTCAAGATAGATTTAGTAGAAATAGTAATGTATCAAAACATGCCTGTTTTCTTTTCTTTTCTCTCACTAGGCTCTCCTATTTATTAATGTGTTCAACTCCATTCAGTAGTAAATATTGGTGTGAGAAATTGCTGATATGGCTTTACGGGAATTTGTGACCTTAATTCAATTTCTGAGTGGTAGTGTATGCTAATTATCTTTGATTTTGTTGATAACATGGAATGTATCAAAACATGCCTGTTTTCTTTTCTTTTCTCTCACTAGGCTCTCCTATTCAAGAAAGATTTAGTAGAAATAGTAATGTTTGTTTGAGTGTGTTTTAATCTCAGCACTGATTAGGAGTCTGAATGAACGACTTTTTCAAGAGTCTTGATGGTGTTGGATTTTAATTAAACTGATTTCCATATCAAAGCCCATATAATTTTTAAGAGAATTTTAGCTTGATAGGGAGTTGAAACCAAACAACACCATCCTTTATCCTGTTCATTATTTGAGCACAATATTGATAGTGTAACTACTGTCTTAATAATTTGAAGTCTCAGCTAAGGTATGTCTTTGCACTACTCACACAGCCCATCCAACTGTCTTAATAATTTGAAGTCTCAGCTAAGGTATGTCTTTGCACTACTCACACAGCCCATCCATAAGAACATTCACATAAAAATCAAATAGAAGTTATAAAACTTAAAATTAAAAGAAAGTTGACCTCGAACCGTTCTTGGTTTATCATTTTGACGACAAAATTCCATCATAAAAAAATCCTTTTTGTCTACTTAGTTACAACCATCTCCTTTTCTAGTTCCCTGTTACTGGACAATGCTCGCATGATTCTTTTCAATCATGTTTGTCTTCTTTTAATGCTTATTAACTATGAAGCACGAATATGGATACAAAACTCATAAAGCACAGACATGGATACGGACACGTGGACACGTAAATTTTTAAAAAATAGGGGACACGACACGCTGAGGACACGTTTAATATATATAATTAAATTTATTTATTATATGTCATAAAATTATAAAATTAATAAACGTATATCATTAAAAATAACAAAAAGAAATTGTTTTTATAAACTAATCAACAATATATTTATATATATATGAATAAATAAGACATTGAAGGAAAAGCCAAAAAAAAAAAAAAAAATGAAGAAGAAGAAAATTAAAAAATAAAATAGAAGAGAAAGAGAGAGAGGGGTTAGAATCAGCATAAAAGAAAAAGAAAAAAAAACGAAAAGTCAAAAGAAGAGAGGACAAAACAGAAGAAAGAGAGAGAGTGACTGAGAGAGAGAAAGAAAGGAAAGAAGAAGAAGAAGAAGAAGAAGAAGAAGATCGAAAGAAAAATAAGAGAATCAAGCAACATACCTTCGATAACAGGAAAAGCAACGACTAGCGAGCAGCGAGCACCGACCAGCCACGACCCACCAGCGACAAGCCACCAGCGATCACCGACGAGCATTTCTCTCAGTCTCTTCTCTTCTCTCTATTTGAAACTGGGTCAAAAATTGATTTTTAATTTTTGTTTTTACAAATTGACCCCAACTTGAAGTTTCAGAAATTATATTTCTGACCCCGTGGTGTCCCGAACGCATCCAAACGTGTCTCTTACATGTTTGCCTGCGAAAAAATCAAAAACAAAGGGACACTCTCTTCAGCATGTCGGACACGCGTCCACCACTTGTCCGATGCGTGTCCGACACTGATACGCGGTCCTCGGAGAGGTGCCCGTGCTTCATAGTACGAAACGATACGGATATGGTTATACAACAAATTAAAAAAAAAAGAAAAAAAGATATGTGTATGGCTAGGATACAATAATAAAAAAAATTTAGTTTTATATTATACATTAGGGCAAAGAAAGGCAAAAAACATTCTCTAGGAATTAGATGTTAATTTAACAACCAATAGTCAATTTACTTTAGTCTTCCCGCCCCCCCTCTCTCTCTCAAAGGGAGAAATAGGAAGAAAATCAAAGGGAGTTTAAATTCATCTTTTTGGGCTTGAGAATTGAATACTTAAGTGATTTGGAAAACTTTAAATGAGGTTCTTAAAATAAACTAATGTTGTTAAGCTAAAATTACTTAGTAAATTCTCTTTCTTAGAGGTTAAGCAAGATTAGTTTGAATTAAACTTGGTCACATAAGTTAATCAAACAATTAGTGGCCTAAGCTAATTAGTTTCTAGAACAAAATAGAGTACATTTATCAATTACCTAAATAATATAATTATGTATGGGGCCTTGATTTGTTCTTTATGACCGTCTAGACTCAAAATGTCATTGGATGCTAATGTCCCTTACTATTGAGTGACATTATCATTCTCCACAAAAAGGGAGAAATAGGAAGAAAATCAAAGGGAGTTTAAATTCATCTTTTTGGGTTTGAGAATTGAATACTTAAGTGATTTGGAAAACTTTAAATGAAGTTCTTAAAATAAACTAATATTGTTAAGCTAAAATTACTTAGTAAATTCTCTTTTTTAGAGGTTAAGCAAGATTAGTTTGAGTTAAACTTGGCCACATAAGTTAATCAAACAATTAGTGGCCTAAGCTAATTAGTTTCTAGAACAAAATAGAGTACATTTATCAATTACCTAAATAATATAATTATGTATGGGGCCTTGATTTGTTCTTTATGACCGTCTAGACTCAAAATGTCATTGGATGCTAATGTCCCTTACTATTGAGTGACATTATCATTCTCCACAAATTTTAATGGACAAAAATTCTAACATTTGGAGATGTTTAAACTTTTAAAATAAGGCTCTTAGTCCTAACAAGTTGACATTGGTAATCTTTCAGCAATGCTAGGATGTGGTAAGAGGATATAGTTTTAGTCTTAAAATACCTTTGTGGCGTGGAGGCATGTTTTAGAAGCATGTTCTGTAAGCAATTTTAGTTGTTACGCCAAAAAGAATTTCGTTCATAGAATTTTTATATTTCACAAATTTTTGGAGTGCTGTTTTGTTTAGTTCAAGTGTCGATTTACTGTCCAAAAGACACCAACATAAATGTGTTAGATTGTATTATTGAATTTAATTTATGTTCATGTAATAGTAAGTTCTAACAAAATTGTTTTACTGAATTAATATTTGTGAATTACACTAATATATTATAGCTCACTATTGTTGTAAAAACTTTACGGCTATTGAAATTTTGTTAAGAATAATGCTTAAATGTTCTTTTAAAGCTTTGTAACTCACACCTTTCAAAAGGCTATATAAGAATGATCATTCCATTCGTTTACAATGTAAGGAGTTTTACCAAATTTCTCAATCTTGTTCTTTGGTAGGCAATTTGGTTGTGAGAGTTATTTGTCTTCATTCTTTGGTAAAGGTTTCGATATATATACTTTTAGAAGATCAATATATATGTATATATATTTTCGAGTTTAGGACAATCAGTAGAGTTGTTCCGATAGTCACTGAGTTTGCCACTAAGAGGTAGCGTTTTTGCTCCGAGAATGTGGATTAACGATTTTTGACTAAATTCGCCTTAAATTCACAGATTTCTATAAGTTAGTGAGCAAATTGAGATGATATAGCACGAATTCATGTACTTTTTCATTGGTTTTATACACTTAATTTATCATAGACATGGTTCTACAGTCAATTCTATTACCAGTTGGAAGCCACTTTTGAAAGTTAAGTACATGCAAATCCAATCATTTCTCGTGCCGGGTGGAAACTGTTGCGCCAACTTTGGCTATATGCCAATTATTTATATATATATGTACATATTTTTATATCATTTTATAAATATATGTTAGTGTGTATATGTTTATATTATTTTACACATTTTCATATTAGATGCTCTCTTTCTCCCGCTCCCACTCCGACTCCCTCACCTATACTCGGTTGGCAAATTGGTTACATAGGCTGTTCTTGACACCTCCACATTTGTGAGTGCACGCTTGTGGGGAAGCGACAATTGAAAGAGGGTAGGACGCTATTAACCTATTGCAACCGTACTCAGAGGGGCATAAACCTACTCTTAAGTACAGTGAATACACGCACCTTTGTCAATAAGTCTTCTGTAACTTTATTTTGTTTAATCTATATATTGCTAAAATATTTCTAATTAATTTTGTGATTTCAAGATATTATGTTAGCCCCCCTTAGTTCCAACAATTTAAAGAATTTGAAAAATGAGATAGAGGTTTTGTGAAGGCAGGGCTATAACTCATCAAATGTTAAACTCACTGTGAATATGCTTAGCTCTATGTATCAGATGATTAATTCCATTGTTTCATTAATATATATATATATATATTTCTTGAGAGGTGAATCACTTTTATAACTAGAAACATTTCAGCTATTTGCTGTTCCTATCATACTATGTTTTAGACTAGGTCATGTACAGAGTTCCATTGCTGTTGCACATATAAGAGCAATCTGCATCTTAGATTGCATTTTCTGCAACCTACACCTGCTTCCACGAGGTTGGTCTTCAATTTATGTCTCCATAATAATTGCCTCAATATTTCAATCTCATGTTTTTCATTTCTGAATTTTCCAATGGAAATAATCTTACATGGTTATCCTCAATAATTCTTCTGAAGTTTTGAGGTTTAGAGCAAAGTGCCAAACATCAGGTTATCAGCCTTTCTATTGTCCATTGCCAGTACCTTATTCCTGTTGGTTTTGGCAATTACCTTATTCCTGAAGGACATCATGAACCTGCCTGTTTAATGCACTGGTTGGATCTG